TCGGGTAGGGTGAAAATTATTTTGGTCGGGTCGGGTCTCGGATGGAGGTTCCCTTGTTCTCGGGTCGGGTGGACCAAAAACCTTACTCATGGTCATCCCTAATTGGGATGATTTTAACTTATTATGTTTATTAGCATGATTTTTTTAATTTATTGAAATGAATAATCAATCAATAAAATTTAATTTTAATTTTATTTTTTTTAATTTTTATAATATATTGCTACATATAATTTATAAAACAAACTAAAATTAAGCAAAAAAAAAAGAAAGAAGGGCAATCCTATCATTTTACATTACTGAAATCAAATTCATCTGACATGTCTGCGAACCAAACAGAATATGGAATTGAATTCCAATTCAATTTCCTGTCAACCAAACAGAATACGGAATTAGATTCCAATTCTTGACAGATTCCAATTCCTTCACAGATTTCAATTCCCTCATAAACATTCTAGCGAATCAAACGCCACCTTAGAGATTTCCTGTAACTGCAAAAGAAAGTTTAGAAGAAGAGAAGGTTTGAACTCGATATGGACTGCAATTTGTCAAGAAAAATGAACCACCAAAAAAGGTCATTGTCCGTTTGCTTCAATGTGAACAATATATTGAAATAACAACACTCTTGTTTCAATACAATGCTTGCACAATACTCTATTGCCTTATATCACAACAGACCTTAAGAAAAAAGTCCATGCAAGCTAGAAGCTCAAAGCAATTGGAGACTTGGTACTCAATTAAATTAAAGTCTCCGTGTCAGGGTAATATTTCCAAGCCCCCCAAAAAATACATCACTCAGACAGCACAAATGTTTTGTGGGAGGACAGTTGTAGGCAAATGATGAGTTGATTTCATGAAAGCACACTTCAACATAATGCACAAGTATCTATCACCAATCAAGGCTGTGAAACAAATAGAAGCTATACTTTCCAGTTTCTACAAAGCTAACACGGGAAACATAACTTCCAAAGCAAAAGAAAAATAATGACAAGTAGCTACAACAATCTTAGCTTATTCACGCTCTAAGACAACTTTCTCTACAACAAAGAAAGGAACTGAAACTAGCTATCCTTTTTAACATAAGCTCTAAGATGATGAAATTGATTTATATCGAAAACGAACTTGTTGAAAAAATGATAACCAATCAATTATTAAATAATGACGAGTACCTACATCAATCTTAGCTTGTTCTAAAACAAGGAATTATTGGTTCTTGATGGTAAATTGATAAAATTGATAATATAAGAAAAAAAAAACGAAATACGGCAAAAGCTTGGCAAAGTTAACCCTTGATAAAAGAAAGGGGAATTATAGCATACTGAACAGCTGGAGAAGGCAACCACAGATAGATGAGAGAAGAGAAAGATAGAAACCTAAGAAAAATAATGACAGCGACTCAGTCAAGGAAACTGAGTAAGAAAGAATGCTACCCACTTGTCTTCTTATTTCGCTGCTATATAAATAAACACATATATATATATATATATTGATATTAAAAAGGTAAACCACATAAATTGTCAATCATATTTGAGTAAGTTTCTTTTAACCCACTAACATTTTAAAATTAATAATTTGATCATTAATGTTATTGATTTATAACAAATCAGTCACTCGACATTAACGGTCGTTATTGGGGGTGATAGAATGCTAATCTGGCGCGTTAACCAGCTGACGTGACACTGTTCTTTTCCACGTGAGATAGCCTCCACAGTGATTGTCTCCAAATCCACAACTGAAGGCAACATCGACCAAGTAACATCGTTGGAAACAACCAAATTCTCATCCGCATCCAGATGAAACCTCTCACTTGGAAGAGAAAACGTGTGAGCCAACGTCCCTAAAACCCTATCAAACAATTCTCTGTCTTCATAGTCTCCTATGTAAAAACTAATCGTGATATCAACAGTAGAGCATGAATCAATTCTGTAAACGTTAGTGGCGTAATATAGGACCATTTTTGGAAAGCGCTGGTGAAGATGGCATTCACCTTGTTTTTCAATTCATTTTCAGGTAAGAAATTATACTTTAAGTCCCTCCTATTAATAGGCAACGCGACGTTCCTGCCAAAAAAAGTGTAATGACCTGTCGTATGGAAGTGCAGGTGGTTTGGAAAGATGACGGCTTATCATATGCATTGTTGCTATGCTCCCTCACTGTCTCTTCAAATTTAGCCACACGTTTCTTCACGATATTATATTTGTCCCTCGTCATAGGCAGTGACTAATTAAATAAATCCAATACAATAGTTTCTGAATGTCTTTTTGATATATATGATTACTAACTGATCCTGATGTAATACTTTCTGAGCGACTAATTAATATGTTAGCTAATTAACCTCTTGAATAAAGATATCGTTTCCGAAATTCTATCGATATACAAAAGTTTCGTGTTTCCCAATTTGATAAATTATCAAGTACCTCTAAGAAACAACCGGATCCTCTAGTGAGTTCCCTAAACACATGAATATTTTCTCTTATTTTAAAAGTATGACTATGTTATCTGGAACGACAATATGATCTCTAATTTCTGTTTTTGATCCAAAGTATAATACTGTTTGTTGTCTGAAATTCCTATTTACTGGGGTTTATCTGGGATCCGGGAAGAAGTCTTTGTAGGTTCAGCTTCGATCAAGCTGGTAATTCCTTATGGACCTCAGGCGACCTTTGGGTGGGCTATTGGGCCCAATGGACTTAGTGGTAAGACCTTAAGGATCCTAAGGTACTTCCTTAGGGTGGCTCATCTGTTGTGTACATGGGGTAAGTCCTTATGAGCCTAAGGGTACTACACTCAGGTGGGTTCCTACGCTTCGGCTAGGGTAAGACCTTATGGACCCAAGGTGCTCCATTAGGTTGGCTCCTACACCATTTGGGTCTAGGGTAAATCCTTATGGATGTAGTTATAGAGAACTGCATATCGGTGTTCGGTTGGAGAATATTACTGTTATTGTTATTTTAAAATAAGTTTTTAAGCTACTATTGTTTTTAAAAGATCTGAACACTTTTTCTGGTTTTGTTGGAACACACTAGACTCCCTGACTCAATCTCTTGAATCTGTTTCTCTAAACGCACCCTTTAGACTGTAAGTTTCTCAACTGTTACTTGAAAAATTAATTAATGAATCTGAACTCACCGTTAGAACCTGTTGTTGACTGTACCGCTAAGGAAATTATACTTTATATATATCTGATGACCTATTGCATTCATTTGGTAGTTATGTATTATTGAGCTTTCCAAAGCTCAACTTTGTTACTTACCATTTCAGGTTAAAGAGTTTGATCATGCGCTTTTATCGACATCAGTAAATGAGTTACATCGGTGTTGCTTGCGTAGTACGACGCATGTAATTAGGGGTCGTGTAGGTTGAATTTTGTGTTTATATTCGAGTATGAAATTTGTTTTAAATATTGGATATGATTGAACTTTGTTTTAATATAAGAATGATTTTTTGAACTTATATTTTTATTTATAAACTGTTCAACGATTTTTAAATGGTTTATCAAATTTAATTTTTTTTTTAGATTTTTAGTGTGGATCGCTCCGGTAGCTCTAATATGATATCTCAGATTGGATCATGTCACTCATATCGATACGAGGGAGTTACATAGCTTTTGGTTTTGCTTCACTTTTTTTTTGGATAATTTAATTTTTTTACCAAAGAAAGCAGATATCTGCTTGCAAAACAATCCAATCATAGGAACAAAAAACATGGGAATCTATGTACATCAAAACTAGACTATACCCTAATGGTTACATAGAGCTAAATTTGTGCTATCAATTCTATTAACATTCATATTACTTAAGACAATTCCAACAATTGACTTAATGATGTTAATAATATCTTCTTCACTTATGCATTTCCCTGTGAAGATTCTTCGGTTCCTTTTCTCCCATATGGTGTAATTAAAAGCACACCAAGAGAGCTTTAAAATAGTTGAAATCAGAGATTTACCTTTCCATGTATTGGCTGCCCATTCCAGCAAAATGTACCATGATGAGGATGGTCTATTCAAATCATAAAGTTGAAGAAGAGACATTCAGATTGAAGATGTCTGTAAACAGTTGGCAAATAGATGATCTCGTGTTTCAATAGCTTCAGAATAGAAAATGCAGTCAGTATTAGTAACCAGACCGAAGCGTTGCAGTCTGTCCTTGGTGGGAAGCCGATCCAATAAAGTCATCCAAGAAATCACACTTTGCTGTCTTTTGGCCGAATGCCTTCCCAAATTTCCTTCGTATGATTAGCAGAAGAAAAAGCAACCAGAGGTCTGGCAATGCATCTTAATTTCAGCATTCGTCTGAAACACCAAGAGGAATTCAATGGTTTTGCTTCACTTTCATAAGGCGAGAGTAATCTAATTTTTAAAAGGCATAAAGGGAAGGGCAGTTCCTTCTTTTTATATACAGAGAAAGTGAGAAACTACAGGAATATCACTTTTTTAAATTTATGATTTAAATGTTTTTTTTAAAGTTAGTTAAGTTCGATCCATTTATAATTTGATCCTTTGCTAATATAAAAGTCTTTTTCTGATTCTTGCAAAAAAAATTCAAAATTCATTTCTAGAATTCGATTTAAAAATCTTGAAACCTAACCCGATATTGATTATTTTGGAGAAAATAATCATTTAATCTCACGTTAATGGTCGAACAAACTCTTTTTTTTAAAAAAAAATTAAAATTCGATCAGATTACTGGATCCACTATTCTAGAATTATTAGACCCAATTTCAATACGTGACAACTTGAGTTGCTATAATAAAGACACAGAAGAATAAGTGAATAACAGTCACCTAAAACGATTATCGACCAAAATTTTAACGCCCCAACACCATACCCAAAGTCTCTGCAGAATGAAAGTCGAAAGAGATGGTATAAAAGAACTTTGAAGAAGATGAAGAACAGGAAAAAAAACTATCTTTTTATTCATAAAGACTACTTTGTTTTTTCTTATACCAAAGTCAACCATCTCTCATTCACAAGAGGTGAATAAGTGAGCTAAGATTTTGAACTAGAGCTTCATAATTTGATCCAACAGACGTTTCCCATTAGATCTCTGGCTAAGCCTCACTGTCAGGAACTCCTCAAGCGGCATACTCTTGTACACTACTTTGTTGGTCTTAGTAACATCCGGCAGTGGGACAATCTGAGTACCCTTTTTTGGATAGTGTAATGATGCAATCGAAAGGCGCTCCTTGTCCTCATTAACCACCACTCTATGTTCAATGCTTTTGTATTCTCCATTGCTCATAATCTGTATTTATGACATCTCTTAGATCGAGTCTTAAATCTGTGTACGTAGAGTTTCAAATATGGTCATATTATTACCTCGATCACGTCTCCGATATTGACTATGAATGCACCAGGGATGGGTTTAACAGGAATCCATTTCTCATTCCTCTTGATTTGTAATCCTTCAACTTCATTCGCTTGAATCAACAATGTTAAACCCGAGGAGTCGGAGTGTGGAAATGCACCGAGAACCTTTCTTGCCTCTGCACAGGGAGGATAATAGTTCATCCTTATTACCTGTCTTCCATCCTCGAAAAAGCTCGAAAATGCCTCGGGATCAGTCCCCAGATTCTCAGCAACCAGCTTCACGAGTCGGATCATAACTTCATGCAACGCCATCGTGTACTTCTCGAAGCTTTCCCTGAACGAACGGGGATTGGTCGGCCAGAATCTCATATTTCTTGAGTTAATAGGCTGAGCAACGAGGAGGAGGATGTCCTTCCACTCAAGCTTCTGGTCTTCTAAATCTGACGCACGGATGTCTTGACCGTATCCTTCGGGGTTATCCGGTGTCTTCGAAAAAGCCATCTTCTCCTTCAAAGGCAGCTTGAAGAACTCTTGCAGGTCGATCTTCATCTTCTCAATCACGTCATTCGCTACACCATGATTGATCAACTGTTCTACCATCAATAAAATGTTAAAAACGAGTGTTAAAGGTTACTGGTACAAAGATCATATTCTGTTGAGAGAAAATGTTATACCTGGAAGAAACCCCAGTCTCTGCAAACTAAATGCAGATTTCTCCGTTCACTATCATCATCTAGTTTGCTCATGTCAATCACTGGAATCTCAAAGGATTCATCCATGGAAATTGCATCGAATTCAATCTCTGACCTGATGTATCTGGACGAGACTTTCTTCAGGTTCTTGGATGCAAGAGCCTGGACATTCTCAACAGGACCAGGTATAGAATCACCACCCAATCTAAAGTCAAACTGCACCTTGGTTTCCATTTCTGTCGAGCTTTCATCTGAGAAAACTTTGATTCATGCTAAATTAAATATAACACTCCAGCCACCACGTTACCTGTTGACCAAGGAAAAGATGAGATCAAGTACGCGTTAAATTTTTAAAGCTTCCCCTATGCAACTTGTAAATCATCTCTATTTTATTAAATCATGTTGGCTGTCCATGAAGATGTAATAATATTAGAGTTATTGTTTTATATACAAATCATATTTAAATTTATTATCTTGTATAAATTGTTTACTTTAATATTAAATATTAAAATAAAAAATTTTAAATTTTAAACTTTAACATCTAGTTCTTAATTTTAGATTTAAAATCTGACACGTGATAATTTTTCATTAGAATAAATAGATTTATATAAACTAAAATTTACAAACAAAAAAAAAATCATTAGAGATAATGTATAGTATTAATCTACAGAAATTCGTCCAGAAGATAGGGACTTCGGAGGCCTTAAGATTCACTTGAGTGGCGTTGAACTATATTAACTTTTATTAAGAAAAGTCAATCATCCAATAAATACATGACACATTATATAAAATTTAATTATTAATTATTTTATCAAAATAAAATCACAAAAAATCAATTTTTTTTTTGAAAATCTCTGTTAGAAAAACTAAATTCTCTCCTTCCCCGCAAAACTTAGTTTATACGGAAGTTCTACAGCGCGGTGCCATTAATATAAAATTAAATAAAGGTGTTGTTGTTTTATTTTTATTTAAATAATAAAATCGGTTTTTGGTGAATTTTTGGATACTAACTCATTATTGGATACTAAACTAATATAAAATAAAAATTAACCTATAATTTTTGGTGAATTTCCCAAAAATTCATCCTAACGGTTTTTTTTCTCTGTCAAACACCCATGCAGGTTTATTTCTCGATTTAACACACTTTGCATACCCACGTCAGCGTGAGGTGCGATGCATGGGTCGCACATTCGCTTTTAATTCGACCCCCATCCTGCCAGTTCACACCCACATCCCACCCTATAAATATGTCCATTCTCTACCATTTTCATCACACCAAATCCTCTCAAATTCTTTCAAATAGTCTGAAATTCTCTCATAGCTCTTTAAGTTTTATTTATAAGGTATATTTTATTCTATTTAATATTTTGTTAGTATTTTTTTAATTATTTAAATTTTTTAGTATTTTATTTAATTATTTTTATTTTTTTACAGTTATAAAATGGAAGGTGGTATGTTTCGTTTGGATGGAAATCAATATCTATACATTTTGCTGATACGATAACATTTTGACGTTTTAATTTAATTTAAATTATTAGTAATAATTTATTTATTTAATTTTTTATTATTAGTTTATAAATTATTTTTTGTAATTATTAATATTTTTAGGAGAGCGACCGTATATTAGATCCTTTTATCCGGAACCTTAACTTAGCGATACCAACCCGTGTCTGGCCGTATTTAGTCGAGGCTGGATTCAGTCACATAGCTAGATATGAAGGTCATTGTAGGATAAAACCAAACATGATTTCTGCATTAATGGAGCGGTGGATACCGAAGACACACATATTTCATATTTCGTGCGGAGAGTGCACGATTACGCTTGAGGAAGTTTTCATACACTTGGGGCTTCCAGTGGATGGAGATGTGCTTTCAGGGATGGCACACGATAACTGAAATACTTTGTGTCAGGAATATGTAGGAGGTGTCCCGCGAAATTTTAACAGTGGTCGGATTCCGTTAAATTGGTTTGATGCAAATTTTCAGAATTTGAGTGAGGACGCCTCAGAGGATCAAGTTAAAAAGTATGCACGAGAATGCATACTGCAGCTGATAGTAGGGTTGCTGATGTCGGACAAATCATGCAACTAAGTTCACTTTATGTGGTTACGGCATCTTGGCAATTTTCATCTGACTGAATCACTGAGTTGGGGCTCGGCAGTTCTAGCATTCCTGTATAGGGAGATATGTCGAGCTACTGACTACAGAAAAAATGCTATCGGCGGATGTCTCCTTCTTGGGCATGGTATCGTTTGCCCTTTTTATGTCCTGTTGTGAAGAACTCGTTTGTATTTCCGCAACTATTGAGGTAATTACAAAATTGATTTTGTATATTAATCATTTTATCCAGTGTATAATAAAAATTATTTCCTTGAATAGGTGGTCTATTTACAGGAAAAATCATCGGTATCTACCTGATGAATTAGAAATAATCAGGCTACTAATCGATCAGAAGGCTGGCACAAAGGTATGTATTTTAATGTTTGAAAATATATTTTCTATTATAGTTATATAATTAGATTATTATTTTGATAAGAATTATAGAATTATATATATATATATATATATATTTGTTTTAGTTTGAATGAGCTCCTTATTGTAATGATGATATGAGGATGTGCATCCCACCTGAGTTAAGGGGCCCGTTAGATGTTTGGATGACGGTGTTCCTAATGATCTGTATGGGATTGTCGAGTGGCACCCCACTGATCGCATTCTCTAGCAATTTAGTTTTGTACAACCAATTCCGGAATAACCTCAAAATATGGATCAGATGCATAACACAGATCGACGCGGTAAGACGAATATAGATTGGCTGGTGAAGCATTATGAGTGGCTCATGATATGGGAGGATCGACATCGGCGTATTCCCCATAAAGAACCCATTTATGTTGACCAATTAACGGTTGCAAATGGTTATTATGAGTGGTTCAACAGTAACAGGAAAACATTTCTACTTTCCGAGGATGTACGAGGATGGAGCATTCATCGACGTCGACAGAGACGTGCACAGTCACAACCCCATCGTCCCTTGACTCATAGACGGAGAGTAGGTGATTTCGGTTCGTCATCAGCTGCACCACCAGAACCTTCACACCAACCACCGTCTGCAACGACGTACACCCTGCAACCATATTTGATGTCGCCACTGCCTTTCCCTTAGCAGATGCCGCCGCTGCCACCGTCACAGAGTTATATCACCCCTCCTGGAGGATATTATGATTCTATGTTTGCATATCCGACTTGGGGTTTTTATGCTGGTTATTTGGCAGGTGCAGCCTCATCACCGATAGTCGTCGCACAGACACCTCCTGTACAGTTTTCTCACTCATCGATGTCTGTGTTTTCTGAGTTTTCCCAGTTTTCTATGAGCGGTAAGATAGTCAGTCATACACATCCTCGATACAAACAGCCACCGCCCTGCGGAGCACATTCGCACCGCAAACATCGATAGTTTTTGATATTTTATTATATTTGTATTTACTTGTTTATTGGACTTTTTTTATTGTAATTTTATTATTATTTACCATTTAATACTTAATTTATTTTGTTAATTTTGTTTATTACTTAATTCAAGCGAATGGTGATGATCATTTAGTGCTTTTTAATTGTTTTTACAATAATAATAGTAAATTTATATATTAAAAACATTTGCCTTTTAAAAGTTTGTTATATTTAAAATTATATTCAAATACCAAATTGCTATTAGTTTGATAAAATTTAATAATTGTGTTCGATAACTTTATTAAGTTTGTAACTTATTATCTCTTTTATTATAATCACATATAACGCCAACGTCGAATCTCGTTTTCTTGTATTATTTTTTTTAATTAATCAGTGGTTATCAAATAACATTAACTATAAGTAAATGTGAATTAAACTCGTCTGAACTATTATTTGATAAACAACAACTACATCAGTTCCTCATCAATGGTTACTTGATGACAAAAGAAGTGGACATGTTCTTCTAGTGTGTCCTGGGTTTCTACAATGCCCACATCTTTTGTCATGTCTAGATGTTTCTCAAATATCCATATCACAATGAATTCGAGTGGAATTTGGTTGACCACGGTCCTTCAATAAAGTTTGATATGGTATAATCAAAACTCAATTCTGAACCTCATTAGGGTCTTTCTCATTACCTATAGGGAAACTCAAATTTGTATACCTTAAACACTTTATAGTAGGAATATAAGATCTATAAAACGGTTATAGTCTTGGCGGGTATGTGAGCAAGCTGCTATCACATGATAGCATGGATTCCTCAGAGCTTGAAAAAACCCACAGTCGCACCATCTGTCCCGTAGATTTACTCTTAACGAGTTAGCTTCAATCCCTTGAAGAGGTCACGACAACTCTGTGACATGAAACAATTCATGCATTCTAGAGAAACTTATTACAGACATTCCATTTGATGCATCAATTTTTTTTGTAGATCTGTAACTAATCTAGGGTGATAGACATGACCACCTTGCATCCATGTTTGAGCTTGTCCCCCGAGCTTTGCAAAAACACACCCAAACGAAAATATGTAGTTTTTACCAAAGCCGCTACATGTAAGTGATATGCCCCTTTAAGGTCGAATTGATTTCCTCAACCAAGTTGGTCATCATGTGTCCATATCGATATCCACCATCATATGCATTTGTCCACATTTCTTTATTGATGAGGCTGATGTAATCGTATCATTCCTCGTTCTTCGCCCGTAAATCTTGAAGCATTGATTCAAATGTTTGAGGTAGTAGTTCGTAACCTGAGCATAAAATGTAGAACTTACTAACTTTGTTTCTTTAAAAATGAAAATGATCGAAAGAAAAAAAAAACTACAGTAGTTTCACTTACCCATGCGCACAAGTAATTGACGCTCATCATTCTTCTTGAACCTTCCATGGTAGTTCGCAACAATGTGTCGGATATAGTACCTATGTTGGCTAAAGGGTGGTTGCCACATTGGACCCAAAGACTCCATTGCTGCTTTGATCTCAGCTCCGCAATCTGAATTGACACGGATTTTTTCCCTCGTGATAACGTGTGAACGTAAGTTTCGGAGGAAAAAAGCCCAAGAATATGTATCTTCTCCTTCAACAAGGGCAAAAGCAACTGGAAGAATGTTGTGATTACCATATTGGACAACTGCCAATAGTAAAATTTGCTTGTGTTTTCCATACAAGAAAGTCTCGTCGATTTGGACCACAAGCTTGTAGTATTTCACATCATTAATGCACTGTGGGTAACT